AAATATTAGGATATAGCAATATTGCGCACATAAATTTAGAAAATATGAATTTAGATAGTTTTGTTGACTTTATGAATAATAAATTCGGTATGACGTTAGAATGGTAAGTAAGTTGATTGAATTCGCCGTTTGCCAAACAATTCCATAAGTGAATTTCTAGGCCAATTTGCGTAGCAGAATGTCTCTTATTTGTGTGACGCACTGGTACTATAGCGACTAAAACTACGTACATTTAGTCAAGAGTATTTGTGTGCAAAGTGCATAACGCTATATTATTATATATGAATTATTTTATATATATATGATAAATGAGTACTCATTTACAAGAATATTAATCAGAAAGACGATTTGCATTAAACAATTTAAGCAATCTTCATTTTTAATAGTTTAAGAAAGTTGAAATTGAAATAATTATGCGAATTTTTGCAAAAGTATTTCAAAAGACACATAATTTAAAATAATGTCTAAATAATTAAGATTTTTATTTGCCTGCGAAATGATTCACTCTTATTACGTACTTCACGCCATATAGTACGATTTCTTGTAAAATATGAATAACAGCCTTTTCAGGCACTTATTTTCTGTTCTGTAATGATTGGTGTATATCGTAGTGTAACAACTTGCAATCTCCCACTGGGAAAAGAATAATTGTGTTGGGATCGATGTGCAATTGAGTTCGAAATTGCAATACGCTTTTTATTGCATATGTCAATACAAATTGGTACAAATATATGTCTCTAATCAAGTTTAAAATTTAAAATCTAAAATATTATAAAGGAATAATGTCCGTTCTAGCAACTTCCTACACATGCACATTAAATGATCACACATCTTAATCATATCATTGATTTTTCTTATATAGATTTTTATCTATTTTTTTCTTATCTATTTTTTCTACCTTATTGTATTTATACAATAAGGTTTTCTCGCTTACTGTTTAATCGTTGAACTTTTTTAATAAGAAACTGTTACAGTTCATGCTGTTAGCATTCTCTATTTATACGCGACATATTGAAAATTCCTTGTCGCTTTTTATTTTTGATATTTTCCTGGTGGACCATTCGTCATGCTGTTTGAGTGCAATAACACACGCTATACAATATTCGCGTAAAGAGAGTAATTGCGCTGGGATCGGTATGCAGATGAGTTCCAAACTGGATTCTGTTTTTTATCGATGAAGTCAATATTACGAAATAGTACAGGCGTCTTGGTAAACCCGATGGTTGTACAAGGGAGAGTAGGGTAGGTAGTAACGAACTTCTGCAAGATGTTACTGAATTCGCCACTTCCGTAGCCCGTAGGGTGAACCGAGAGCCGCTATACGGTGATTAAATTTCCTAGTTGCACTCCTTACAATGAGTTATTTTGTAGGAAATTTAAACTGCAGTGCAAGGGTGCCTGTCTTCCAGAATCGCTGTATTCAATATGCTTCGTAGATATCGTTTTTCCTTATTGCCGCCCCAACTCATTATTATCGTTGTTCAGAAACTCCCCGACAGGCATATAGTAAAGCGCCAACGCTTCGAATTATCTATAAAATTTCATTTGCGTCATTTCGAGATCCTGTAATTTAACAACGAAGCTTTAGAGTCTTCAGATAATCTTATAATCTTGTAGAGTCCATTAATATTTTAAAGTAACTATCGCACTTAGGTACGCTCATTTCCTTTTCTACAAGGAATTGTTAATTATTAAAATAAATTTTTTACTTATATTTAATTAATAATTCTGTTCAATGCATTTGAACTATACCTTGTGGAATATACAACAAGAGTATTTTTGTGATTATTGCTGGAGTTAATGAGATTATAATTAATGTGGTAAATATTTGTCTTTCTCCGCGTGCCCTTAATTAATGTGTGGCATATTATGGGGACGTAGATATGAATCTGATTATAATTGAAATCTTGCAAGAACAAAAATAAATACGTAATTCATGTAGACGTTATTTATTTATCTTTAAACGAGTTATTTATTTATCTCGGCAGAAAAAAAATGTTTTTTTATGTGGAATATTTGTTATTATTTATTTAATTAATAATTGAGATTGAGTTTTGTTGAAGCAAAGAGGAAATTTACAAACAGTATTTTTTATAAGAGAAAAAATAAACTTACTAAACTTTTTTTTTAAATTTACTTTGATGTATTGAATAGTTAATAATTTTAATTGTTTTCAGCAATTACTTTAATGGGGTAACGATACAGTCTAATTAAAAAATGTCAGGCACAGTAATAGTATTTCTGACATTAAAATTTGGAGAAACATTTTTGGCAATACCAACAATTTCAGGCACGTTATAGTAATATGTACAGATGCACATATATATACATATATAACAATATTAATTTACTTACCTATTCAATATGTTGATATTTCTTTCTTAATATAAATTTCTTTGACGTCCACTTTTTTATTATTAAACTCTGACGAAATTTAAGTTATGTACAACCAAACATGAAACATAAGTCTAACATATTCAAATGTGTATACTATAAAATTATTTTTAAAAAATTGTTTATTTCATTTAGAATAAAAGAGAAATCATATATTATGTATATTTTTTAATATTCGTGTACATATTAATAATTCTA